AAATGAACATACAGGTCCTTTATTCTAAATGATTGGCGCCTAAGACATCAGCAGTGCAGAGCTTAAACCGCGCCAGGGTGGAGGATGGTACAGCTCACCTGGCTGCGCTAAGCTGTGGAAACACTGAGGCAACATTTGAGCCATGGGATTTTTGTGATACATACAAGAAGTATGATTACGTGGTGGCTGCATTATGTGTTGCAAGCATACCTATTACATCATAATTTTATGTAAAGGGTATTGCCATAACAAGTGACCCCTTCCAACTACACCCTTCACACACTCCCGGTTCTCATTCTATGCAAGAGTGCTGTCTCTCTTTGAAAGCTGCTGAGAACATCCCCCCATGGTTTGCAAAAAGAGTCCCTTCCTCAATGACTCTCTTCATTTTCTGCCAGCACTGGAATTCTTTATGTTCCAGAAGCTTCCAACTTTTACTATTTCACTGTTGTTGGCTCTTCTCCATCTTTTTTTATAGCTCTTCATATCTACACTACAGATAGATAAGTCAAGTAATACAGAGCTTAGTACAAAATTTAGAAAGAAATAGAAACTCATTAGCAGATTTTTATCTTAAGTGTAAAACAAAATGAGCATCCAAAAACTTTTGTGATTTTGTTTTATAAATAGGTTCCTCCTCCCAAGAGTTTTCTCACAATCAGTAACATAGTTTCTGTGCAGCAGTTGTAAATGTGCATTTCTTTCATATTTCCACGATTGATAAATGTCTGTAATAAAAGTGCCATACTTGGATTTTATTGCCTATTATATGAAATTCATTTATAATTTGTACCTCAGTATTTAAACGATTATCATCAAAGGATATTTTCTTAAATATTAGAAAGCAAGCCTGAAACATTTGTGCTCATTTCAGTTTCTAAGTTCCTTTGAAATTTAACTTTCATCATGAATACTTTTTTTTTTAATTTGAAACTGCTTTGTTTAGGATCTGTTTCTTCTTGCCTCAGTGTCTACATTTGCAAGAAAGAGTGTTGTTGACTCCCAATCTGTATTCGTCTCTGTGGTTCTACAAATATGTAACACAAGACTCTACAAATGTATTGCACTATAATATTTTAAAATATAAAGTGGCATATTTATCTTCACAATGCAATTCCAAGTCTCAAAGATGCACATACTAAGGATGTTTATACATCCCATCTCTCCATTTTATTTCTAATTTACTTTTAGTTAACTTTGTATGCTACCAGGTTTGAATTTTTCTTTTTTAATTTCCAATAGTTATCAATATGTTACAGAATGAGTTGAGTTTATTATAGAGTAATTGGTGAATTGTCTAACAGGAAGCTGTCCAAGGGAAAGAAGGTGGCAGTTAGGACTCAGAATAAGTTTACAAAAGTGATCATTGTTATCCAGTCAGAATGTGCATGGGAGAGATAGCATAACAGCTGATCACACTGCATTAAAATAGCTCAATTGTGTCATTAGTAAAACATCATATTGATTTTTTTTCCTTGAATAAAATTATTTCAAAATATCACAACATAGCACTCATTGATATAATGTAAAACAAGAAGTTAATATACATCACAAGCATCACTGAGATATTTTAATACTAAGAATACATATTGACAGAAACTGATTACATAAATACATATTCAGTTCATTACCAGTTATATCTATTATTCTCATTCACTAGGGAATAATCACACAAAAATAATTATCTTTAAAGGAGTTACCAAGAGAGCTAACATGATATCCACATATAGTTCTGTTAGAACAAAAGCAAAGCAAACAGCCAACCATACGTATTTGAAATGATTGGCTTTGTTGTTGCGTCATTCTCCTGTCCATATCTCGATGGTGCTGTTTTCATTGCTGTTCATTTTGGTAGATGGCTACATCAAATGGCTTTTAGTTCATTCGTCTCATGGTCCTTATGAGGTAGAGACCAGCAGACTTATTTTCTGGTCACAACCTTGTTGACCAAAAACAGGATCTGGTTCAGACAGGATAAAGTAAAGAAATCAAGAAGTGGAACTAGTAGATGTTAGTATAGAAGCGGAGAGCGGAGAGGGGTGAGTAGGAGATACTTCCTACTCAGTGCTATGACAGCCTATAAATACCATGGCAAACAACTCTGAAAGTTACCACCTGTCTCCACGTAAATGACCTGGAAGGCTCTTCCCAGAAATTTCTAAATAATCTACCCCTCAATTGCATTGACCCACCTCTTAATTTAACATGTAATTGAAATTGGGTTTACATAAGTAAAAATAACTTTGCCAAGAGACCATAGATTGCAGAGTTTGGGCACACTGACTATGAGTTAGCACTGCTCCACAAACAGCAGTACCATTTAATAAAAGTTGCTGTCCAAAACCCACTGATTACTCTTTGAATTCTTTCTTGCAAAGCCAAGAACCTCCTGGCTAAGTCCCAATTTGGGGCTTGACTGTTTGGTATCACTACCTCTTGACATATAATAATATTAAGTACATAAAAAAACCGTAAGGAAACCAGTTTCTTTAAAGTCTAATTGTATGGTTTTAGAATTCTTGGAATAGCTAAGGACAATAAAGGCTGTCATGGAGAGAAGGAGGCATGAAGGCTTTGGGAGTTGGAAGTGCAGATGAACGATCCTGGTTACTGTAGCTGGCATTTCAGTTAACAAGATCCCTGAGGAAGCCGGGTTTTGCAATATTGAGACACCCTGGAATGGTAGTCCAGCCAAAGTGATATTCAAAACGTTTATTTAGTTTTAGTGAGAACAATCCTGGGGCAAGGCCGATTCACAGTGTGAATCTCCCCTCAGCCCTGGTTATTAACCTTGGGTTCATGTGTCGTCTAATTCTGAGGGTAATTTGAAGCCTGAGTATGCAGTAGAACCTGTGTCTCCCATTCCTTCCCTAAAGTGGAAGATTTCAGAAATGGCTATCATCTGTTGCGCATATACATATACCAAATTTTTAAAAGATTCAATAGTAGCTGAATATATTTCAAAAATCATCTGAGGCTTATAGGATATTGGATCATCAGATTTTTTTCCTATACTTAAAAACAGCTTTGAACAATAGCAATATAAGCTTTGCGTTTCACATGCACAATGCTGTGAACATGGATTATAAATAAATGAAAGTTCTGAGTTGTGGGTATCAGATGATATAGTTATAGAAACATATTCACAAAGCCTAAAATATAGAGCCAATGTCTTCTCCCAAAGAACCCACAGATAGAATTCTTTTTTTTTTTTTTGCTGTTTTATGTGACTTAAATTATTGATTATTATTAAGCATGAAAATTTCACAGAGTTAGAGGTATCCAGTTGGTCAAGACTAGACTTTATTTAGTTCAGTAATATGATATTAACAATTTTCTGTCTGTACGTATTTATATATACAATTATATAATACATGACAAAACACAAATGAAATCCAATGTATGAGAATGCTTTTCCAAATTTAGGACAGTTTTTTACTTAAAAGTAAAAGCGCAAATGCCATGCAAGTAGAAACGACATAGTGGGTGTTCTTATTTCAAATCAACTTTTCCCAATTATGTTATTCTTGTCAAAAATATGTTCAATAGTTGAGGCATTTGGAAATTACCTTTCCTACCTGCATTGATTTGCAAACTTTGTGATGATTGTTGGTGTTATTTATAGGTTCACTTATAAAGAGACAATTAGATGTGTGTGAAAAATAAGTGAGAAACGTTGACTACCAGACTTCTATCTTAACGATGCTATATTTCCTTTCAAAAATAATTCCACTAAGCAAACCCATGAGAGGATGAGGCTGCAGTGTTTCCTTTACTGATTATTAGGTTGAGGTTATAGACTTCTCTCCATCACAATAAATATGCAGGCACAGACGATAACACACATATTGATATTAGAAGAAAATGAGAGATAAATCAAATTTTTTAAAAACATAAAAGTAAGTGGGACTTCTTTTCTAAAAGCATCTACTTATTAATATTTTTTCATATAAATGAAATATGTGTTGGTCATAAATTCAAAATAAGTAATGCTCAATTTTTAAAAAAGTGCTTACAGAAATAAAGATGATTAATACAAAAAAATAACAAACAAACAAAAAAACAGAAAGATAAAGGTGAGATATAATCCCAGAATTTCACACAAAGATAGTTTATGTTTGGTGCAGGCATAGGGAAGTCAATATTTGCTTTGTTATAAATTAGAGTTAATAGAAGTATTGAAGAGCAAATACGAAAATCCATAAATCATTATGGCTCTAAGAAGTAATATGTATTAGATACTTACCACCTGACCTAATTTGTATATGATTTTGTTTTCATTTTTATTATAATATTTCAAAGATCAATTATAAAATATATAGACACGCATAAGGATTCATTGAAAGTACATGTAAAGTGAGCCTGGATTACCGTGGACAATATTAAGAATCAACCACAGTTCATGTATGGAATAAATGAGTAATGTCAAAATAAATAAGCAACCTAGACTTCTCAAATAAGTGTAATTTGAATGCTTAAAATATGATCTGTTGCTGATGTATGTATGTTTGTGCTTGAGAGCTGGGTGTGTGTTCAGATTTAAACAAAAGTATTGTTGCTAAGGATAGTAAGAATATTATTTTACTTGAAAACTGATAGTAAGTGGTTATGCATTTTATGTTGTTAGATGGAAGAAAAGGACGAGTCTATTGCTGTGTACTTGTACAGGTGATTGTCCATTATTCTTGGTAAAAGGCCATTTTATTTATTTATAAATTGTTATTTTCTTAACCATTTTTCCTGAAACCTAAAGATAATCCTCTTCTTTATTCAGTATTGAGAAACCACATTAATAATAAGCTTCTGTTTTGTAACACATTGTGTAAAACTATCATATATTCCTTTGGTATTTAATAAACAGTAAAATTACTTAGTAAAGTAAACAAACGAAACAACAAAAGGCAACAACTCAAGAGCGACTTACTACTTGTATCAGTATTCTTTGTTAGTATAAATGCAGTGATTCGGCGATGAGTTTTACTGGGATTTGAAATTTACAGAGTCATCAAGACTGCCCTTCCAAACATGGATAGAGAGAGGCTAAAGACCAGTATTTGCTTGTTATTCAGGCAAAAGGATATGGTTGGCTGTGGAGGACTGTCAGAACTACATCAGTCACTGTGGACGCTAACGGACGCTAACGATAACCCACCTCGCTTTCTCGAAGCAAGTTGTTTTCTTAAGGATACAAGTGTAATAACTTTTCCTTGACAGTATAAAATATGTCTTTAAAATTATTCTTTTTCAAATATTTCTAAAGCTAAATAATTATCTTACTTCATTCTTCCAAATTTACATTTCATTAGAGAACAATTTTGATTCAGCAATATGGATTATAAGGGTATTGAGAAAGAACTAGAATATTTATATACTTGCATTACTTAAGTAATGCAAATTTTTGACTACCATATCTTAAATATAGTAAGATTTTTTCATTCACATTTTCAATACTAGACAATTACCACCTGTGTTTATGTATTAGTGTTTTTTCTAAGAATTACTTTTTTATATTTGTAAATTATAGTTGTTGCCAATTATCATTATTCAAATACATTTTATTCATTCTATGACCAAAATATTGATTTATTATTGAAAATTAAAAAGAGTAATAAACATTTCCATTTTTTCATTTCACACTTTTTAAAGCCAGTTTGTGCACACTGAACATCTCCATTAGTCAGTTTCCCCCACATCTTTCTTAGAAACATTCAGTGTTTTAAAACCAATCTGGGGAACTAAAAACCACAAATGCCCTCAATTCCAGTACTCTATTTGACTAAAGGGCTTTTGACTTAACCAAGAAAAAGAAAAAAATTCTTCAGGTAGAGGTGTACTGTTTGAAAAACGTTTCCACCTCACTCCCTTTTAGTCTCTCTTTTTCTCCCTAAGTGTGTTATTTCTTTAGAATGTCAAGAAAATAAAGAGATTGTACAGACTAAAATGTCTACAATGTACAATGTCTCTAAAATGCTTTTCTAGTACACTGGGAACTACACTCCCTACCAACAGAACTTAGAAGTGTGAATTGTATCAAAAAGGAAGCTTGAGCAACATACGAGAGTGTCACTCTTTTCTTCAATGACTGCCTCTTTAAAATTTTCATCTTTATCTTATATAGTTTTAACATTTATATTATACAAGAAACGATATCTCCTGGTAATATAAAAAAGTGACCCCAAGTTTAGCATTATTTTCTTAAATAAGCCTACCTTAATTGTGATCTTGATGGCTTATCATGGAGAAGGAGGGACTTTTAGAATTATAAAAGGAAATAATGCAGTTGGTCTTGGGCTTATAATGAAATGAACTGCTTTCCTTTTGTTTAAGCCTAGATTGATCAAATTATGTAGAATTTTAGTAAGATATAGGTGTTCTAGGCCATTATAGATTCCCCTCAAACTTATTAAAGTGAAAAAAGCCAAGGATATATCATTGTTATTCATTTTGCTATGATTTTCTTACCATTGAATCAACAATGATAGATTTTACAAAGGACACTTTCTTTGAGATGTGTAAAAGGGGTCACTCAAAAGTAAGTAATAGCACATATTATAATCATTTTAAAAACAAACAGTAACTATTCACAAAATCTAGAAAATTGCAAACAAGTCTCAGTCTATCATATACTTCATCATACACACATTTTCCTTTCTATGTTCTTTCTCAGAGAGAATCCTTCCTTCTCCCTTCCTTCCTGCAAGACAGACAAATGCAACAAAATTTAACAACCAAAATAAACGGAAAAAGATGGAGGAGGCAGGAAAAAGTAAATGATTAGAGAAAAAGTAGTGAAGGAATATAGTGTGCTGAGGTGTTTCCTCACTCTGAGGATGTGGTTCATTATGCATTTCTTCATCTGCCCCGAAACGCTTTTCTTTAGTTTGAGGGATATGATGAGGAGTTACTAAAATTTAAACAAAAATTTTAAGTTTTTTTTTTCTCTCTTTACTGGCTTTTTTTTTTTTTTTTTTTTTTTTCTGTTCTGACTAATATTACTCTAGGCTCCTGACCATTGTGGCCCAAATCAGTTCTACGTGACACCTACACAATCATTCTTATCCTTCTTATCCAGTTTTCTTACCCAGTTTTCTGAAACCTCTTGCAAAAGATGCTAAGAAAATTCAACATTAAGTTAAGTAGAAAACGATTTATTTGTATTTAGTGGAAGCCCACCTAGTTTATTTATTTCTTAGTGTTTTATACATTATTGTAATTATTATATTGAATTGTTACTTAATAATTATATATCAATTATAATTACTTTCTTAAATTTATTTTTATTTTTCAGTGTAGGATATTTCACCACCAGAAAAACAGGAATTGCATTCTTCTCTTGCTTTTCTCACCATCTATTTCTGCTATCACAGTGATTATTAACTAATCATTCCCATCAAATCTCTTAAGGCTATATGAAACATCTTTTGTTTTCCATTATTCAGCATATTTTTATCAAAAATAAAAAGAAGTTATGCTAAGATGAGGTCAAAATAACCCAATAGTTAAGTTTTTATTGGTTGTCTTGGTATAATGTGTTCATTTCTTATTTTCACTCTACAGGGTCTTATCAATATAACGTCCCAGAGTCATTACCCAGCCCCAGTTGTGGCCAGAATTAAAGCTGCCGATGCAGATATTGGAGCTAATGCTGAAATGGAGTACAGAATTGTGGATGGTGATGGATTGGGCATTTTAAGATTTCGTTGACAAAGAAACACAGGAAGGAATCATTACTATACAGAAGGTAATGTTTTTGATGATTCTTACCACAGATTATTTGCAGAAGTCCTATCTGTTTGATGGGAGAATGGTAGACAAATGAATGGCCATATGGGATCAATACTATTTTAATTTTAGTAAGATAAGCTATGCATTTATTTTTAGGTGTCAGACTCTTAGGGAACCTTGAGTTACATTTGTAATAACACCCATCAATTCTATTCTTTAAGAAACTCACACAGTCAGTTATCTATAAAGCACTATAAAATAAAGCAGACTGCCAATGTGCTGTTTTAAAGACTCATTTGGAGAGATGAGCATGTTTCTGCCTTGACTGTTCCACTAATGAAACCCTAAAATCAAACTGGAAAGTCGGTATGCAAACAACATATGCTATTATTTTCTCCATGAATGAAAATAATATAATTTCAAGTAGAAACCAAAAATGTTGGAAGACTTTGCTACATTAACACCATTATTACTTAAAATTTATAGTAATTGGGAGACTTGAATATCACACAAGAAGTAGCATGAAAAGTTGTAAAACCTATCGTAATTTCAGAGAGTGTGAAAGAGACGGAAAGTCAGTACAGCCTAAACTAAAGATTATTTTCCATAATATATTTAAATTAGTTCTCAACACAGTTATGGGAGAAAATGGACTCTTCTCTTTCAAATATAGAGACATGACTTTTACAAGTATTTAATCAAAAATAATAACTCAAAAGCTGTTATTTCAAAATGTAGTCTTAGTTTCTCAACTATTTGAAACATTAAAAATATATCAATATATTGATCCCTAAGATATGAATTTTTTGTCAGTATGAAAATCTAGTGTATAACTTTGTAATTAATGCTTTTCAATAATTAAAGTTCATATCAATAAATAAAGTTATATTTAGTTGTTATAGGAAAACATATGTTTGATTTCAGACCAATGAGAAATACATTTCTGCAATTATTTCCAGTGGATATAGCTGCTGTTTTAGCTAAGCTGGTTAACAATCTGTGTATACAAGTTTTAATAATCAGGAGTAGGCCAACTGTTGGTAAAATGTTTTGTTTTGTTGTCTAAAATAAAAGGAATTCAGTAAGGTACAATGCTGCTCAAAAATTTCAAAGAGTCATCTGAAATCAATCTGTTCACATTCAAGAATTTTTAATGCAAACTGAAACTTTTTGTTGAACAACTACCTGTATTTTATATTATAGTGAAGGGTGGCACGAATCTTTGAAAATTCTAAATTCAGTATATAAAATATTTGATTTAGTAAGGGAAATATAAAACTTATTTTCTAATTTTATATCATTTCTGGAAATTTTAGAAAATTAGAAAAGAGACATAAAAACTCAGGTTAAAAATTATGTCATCTAAAAGCATACAACTCATGAAAAAATTGCAAGGATAAATTTGATTATCACTTATAACAATAGAAAAGCATCACAATCATTATTATTCTTATAGCTAGCAATTAATATCTGTCAGGCTTTCTTTTTTGAGTAACTTACAGACTTTATTTTATTTTCTCAAACCATGAAGCTACTATTAGACACTGAAAATATGGAAACATTATAAAATATTGAACAATTGAAGAAATGCAGTAATTGATATTATCATATTAAGAAATTTGCATCCATCATTGTAGTAATGTGGTGATGTTGTTTTTGCAAATGAATATGAAAATTTTATTGAAAATTACAAAAAGGCAGTATCCAAACTTTACAGTCACATTTTATAAAGTATATTTATAAAAGTAGAATAACAGATTACAAGAAAAATGTTAAAATGTTAGTAGTATCATTTCTAGATCTTACCTTTTTACTGCTTTTTCAATAATATGTAATATTCACTAGTTATTATATAATTGAAATGTTGTTAAATTTATAAAAGAGTTATTCAAAGGCCAAACTGAAATAAATCTCATTAAAAAACACTGTATAATCTACTTTAAGTACATAGATGGTAATTATTTTACAAATGCAGAAATAAGTCACAGACACGGTATTCAGTGGGCCCAAATTTCATGTAAGAAGTTCTTAGGTATTAAAAAGATGTCTTCTATTTAATAAATTATGATTAAAAACATTCCAAATTTTTAAAAATTTAGATTAATAGAATTTTTGGTTTTGATACTAGAGATTCCTTACTTCTGCCCAAAATCTGAGTGATGCTTTGAATCTAATAAAGTCAATAATTATTAAATATTTATTCATCAATCATTATATGAGGTTAGCTAAATATTTTAACAATTTTTTCACTGAATATGAGGTCAAAACTCCGTTATTTTTACTTGAGATTGTTAGCAACTAAAATTAAATTTTATTTTCTTAAATGGCTTCTAATACATAAATACTTGTCTAATTCTTTGTTTTCTTATATATAACATCAAAGAGTCAGGAATAATTAAGCACAGATAATATGGTGAGAACCTTGAGAAAACAACAGTGGGTGAAAATTCTCATATTACTGTGTCATAGCCAATGTAATCTTCATATGTAATGAAACAATTTTTGTTCATCCTGAATTACTATGGAAGGTAGAACTAAACCGAGTAGCTATCAAAGGTCAAAATATAACATTTAGTTACCCAGGGATTATATACAACATCAGTAGACAGTCTGTGATGTTGAATGCTATCATGATTTTCTATATTATTTCTTGAGCCTAAATACACTGTTTATATATGAACAATAATTTGTAGGGGACTAAGAAGTTATTCAAGTAAATTTACTTCTCTAAGGATGGCACTAACTTGCTTGCTTTCAGCTTTCAACGCGTGCGTGTGTGCAGATCTGGATTTTTAAGTTTTATCTAATGTGGGAGAATAATATATACCCATTTGAGGCAGAACCATTAGATTCTAAAAGTAAAATAATGTGTAGCAACAGATGGCATGAACCTAAGTTGGTATATCTGCAATTTCTATGGTGTTCATTAATTCATCATGATAGATGCATGGGTGTTAAGACGGTGATATCTGAAATTTTGCTGTTTGAAATAGGTAAAAATATTTTTTAAAATACCTATGGTGCTTTTATACAGAGCAGAGGTAACATCAACATGGAGATAAATGAAAACAAAATCTCAGTTTTCTTCATGCTAAAAATCTTTAGGCTTAGCAAATGTTACTTTTACTTTCTTCTTCCTACACTGCTCCTTCTTCTCCATGTAGTTCTGAGTAGATATTAGATAGTGGAAAATTAACTCATATACAGGAGCTTAATTTTTATTTCCAAAGCTCCCTCCACCTCCAAACTAATTTTTTTAAAATTTACAATTTTTTATTGGTTCAATATGTTCCAGTGTCCAAACAATCCTACTTTCTCATCTGCATTGGAATAAACAAACATAAATAAATAATCCTGTAAGAGTTGACTAAAAATAATGGAAATGATACATTTGAGTTTTACTGCAGTTTAAGCTTATAGTGTTATACAGTTGATCCTTAAAAACATGGGCTTTACTGAGTGAGTCCACCTATATACATGGATATTTTCAATAACTGTATTACAATCTTTTGAAATTTGTGACACGAAAATACCACAGATGACTTATGTAGCCTAGACATCTTTGAAAATTTTAAGAAAAATAGTTATGTGCTTGAATGCCTAAATATATGAAGATATTAGTCTATTTCATGTGTTAATAGGCTAATTGTGTTATCAGTAAGGTTTCAGTCATAGGATATGACATGAAGTGAGTTAAGTTTCTTGAGTGATCCAAAGTTATACACAGATTTTGGCTGTGTCGGTGTGTTCTCCCAACCTGTACGTTTTTCAGGGGTCAATTGTATATTCATCTAGTTTTTAGATGAAAATTTATCATTAATTCATAATTTTCTTATTCTCAGCAATTATTTTATTAATGTATTGAAATATAAATTCAAAGTTGATGTGTATCTTCTATGCTTCTTACCCTGTAAATTGGTTCAGAATATTCAGGGTTTGTCCTGTTATCTCAAACATTGTTCATATGCTTTCTATGAACTGCAAAAGAACTATTAGATGCTTAGAATTGGGATCTCTTAAACTTGCGTCAGTTTTCTAGTGAGGAAAATAGATCTGATTTTTAAGTTTTATCTTAATGTGGATAATATATTTTACTATTCTGAGGCAGAACCATTAGATTCTAAAAAGTTAAATAACATGTATAGCGCAACAAGGCATGAACCTAAGCAGTATGGTCTGTAAAATTTTTATGATCATTAACTCATCAGAATAGATAATGGGTATTAAACGAGATATTTGAAACTTTACTGTTTGAAATAAGTAAATTAAAAAAATTTTGGTGCTTCAGACTCATAGTTGCCAGATACATATCACTATTCCTCAGTTTCACTCAACAATCTAGAGCAGTCACTAAATCCATATTTGTACTCCTGGAAAGCAACGCAAAGTTTTTCCAGTTCTCAAACCTCCCTGCCTGCTGACTCCCCGTGCTCTGCCATGCCCTTACCATACTCATCTTTGAGTCTAAAACCGCCCTGTTATTTCTTTAAACAGTAAACAGAAGAAGCATAGCGCCCTGACCAGCAAGATGTATTTTTTTTTTTCTAGGAGGGAGTGTGTGTGTGTGTGTGTGTGTGTGTGTATGTGTCCCTTCCAGTCATGGGAACTGGTCTAATCATGGAATGTAGATGTCCCAGTTCCATAAATATTGTGATCTTTTTCATAGACTTAGCTGTGGTCACAAGGATTGAATAAATATCCAAGGCTTTCTTTTAGAAGTGTTCAAGAGAACTCAGGCCCCATCTGTCAGCCAACTTGGTCAGTTCCCTACCAGGGGCTTTCATGATTTGAGCATGCTCCTGAGGAAGGTTGAATAGTGAATGCGTGAACACTGTTTTTCAGGTAGACATGGAAAGCGCACAGAGGTAACCACCTGTGCAGAGACTTCACTTATGAGATAACCTGCTAAATACAGAAAGGTAACTGGGGCAATTTCACTGGAGAATAATGAGGAAGGAAATGTGGGCAACAGATGAGGTAATATAAATGAGAGGGCTCTTAATGCTCCTTCACAAA